ATATTAAAATACATATTTTTATATATATTAAATATATATTAAAAAACATATTTTTAATCTATATTTATCTATATTTAATCTGTTCTTCTCATTTAGATCCGTAATGACGCACGCGTCCGTGCCGGAAGATATGCGAGCAAAATTAGGCATAACTGATCAATTGATTCGATTATCTGTTGGCCTTGAAACCGAAGAAGATCTTATAGCCGATCTCAAACAAGCATTGAAGGCTTGTCAATAAATTAACGAAATATAATCAGATAACCGTAAAAGTAATAGGTATTCTAATATGTACTAATTGTCTTATAAATGATATAAAACCTCTACATTATCATAAATCTTCAAGAATATTGCCAGCGATGTCAGTAGATACAAAGAAATTTTATTTTTATAAAATTTTCTTTTATACATTCCACAATTCTCACATTTACATTAGGAACACTTGTATAATACAGTAATCAAATACTTTTTAACATATAATTCATTCGTCCCAATTTTTCTTGGTTTATCATACCTGTCAGACATTTTTAAATATGCAAATAAATGTATTTTCAAATTCACAAATAAAATAAATTATATTTCATAGCGATATTTAGTTATTAATGATTTATATTACAAATTGCAAACGAGATCAAACTAATTAATTGCTCTTAATATATCACAAAATTCACTAGAAATTATTCAAAAAACAATAATTTTTATTGATTGTCCTTCGTCTTAATCTTATTAAATACGTACTATCTTTGCATTTCCACTGAACAGAATACTGCTGTATAAGAAAATGGGTATCGTTTGTACTCTAATGCAATACATTTAGTGCGGTGACATATTTCTCTTCCCATACACATAAAATCTTTGTAGACTGGAAAATTGTTCTATTGCAAATTGATCTTCGACGAATATCGTATTCTCTTTGTTCTATTCATCCTGTCGTATTCCTGCGCCCGATTGTACAGCAATACTCCTACTATAACTGAGGAAGTACCAAGGGCCGATAATCCCGTCACAGGATTGTTAAATAATAGAACAGAGAGCCATATTAGGAAAGCTCTCTTTGCAGTATTAGCAACACTACAACATCAATATAATGTATTTTAAAATCAAGAAAATACAGTTTGATTACATGCTTAAAAGACCATTACATACCTGTGTGTCACGGGACTGATATAGTCCATAAGTACATAAGCGGTAATACTTTGGAAATGGAAGAATACTCCGTTAAGAAGGAATGCCGCGAATAATTTAAAACTCAAGGAATGCTCCAGAGTAGGTAAATCGACTAACAGTATCGATACCGGTATTTGTACCACAATTGACGCTAGACTGGTATAAAATTGTAATTCTGCTGGCCTATAAAAATAAAATATTCTTTTCTCCATTTTTTTACAATATTACACACTCGTACGAATTAAATTACTTACGTATATTTAAAATTGTCACCGCTGATCAACATTTTCGAGTAAACATTTTGTAAACATTCTGTTACATTTGTGGCCATAGCGGCGATGAACCCTCTAAGATCGAAACTAATTTCATTGATGGAACACAGTGCCAATCCACCCATTACAGGTATTAAAGATAGATTTACATATAATCCTGTATGTTCCCCTAAAAATATAATCAGTCGATATAAAAATTCTAATCGCTCAACTAATTATCAAAAATTGAATTGTTTATTATAAATTATATTAGATATAAAAATATTCTAAAAATACTCACCTAATAAATACCTGCTGATGAGGACGGTGAAAAGAGGTGCGCTACTTTTTATGGTTTCTGTGAAACTTACAGCTACATAATTTAATGATACTAGACCTAACACTACCGTGGCGAACCTTGTGCAGCCTACAAGTGTCATGTGCTTGTAAAATCCTGGAGGTCTCATCAATCTTGGACTGGCTTTATACATACCACAGGGAAAGTACATTTGTATCAATCCACAAATTGCAGTCATTAACATTTGACAAGCACCTGCGATTCAAAATAAGTATTTATAAAATATAATATTATATATAAAATGTCAAAGAAAAGCTATGATACAAAGCACTAATGACTGACATATCAGATATTTAATATTAATGCTTTAATATTAATTGTACTGATAAAAGATACTATGGATATTTTTTAGGAAGACACAGTTGACACAGTGAATCATTTCAGTATCGTTATTTACAATGTTAACAAAAACTGAAATGATTCACTGTCAAGATTCATCATATGTTAGGATAGTTGCATTCGATAAAATGTTTATTTTGTAATTGTTGGAAGTTTTCTTCAACTGGGTTATACATTTTTAGATTTAAAGAAATAATCCTGCCTCAATAAAAAAAGAAAATCAAATATACAAAATGCTTTCCATTTAATAACAAGTTGGTGTAAACATTTCTTTCTTGATTTATTAGACTTATTCTTTTTAACTAAACTTCTTGTATGATATGGTCAGTTTTTCTTTTTCTTTTAACATTGAAGAGAAAAAAAGAGATGCGCTATACAAGAAATTTAGCTAAAAAGAACAGAACTAGTGATAGAATAATCCTTGTGCCGATTTCTCACTAAATGGAAAGGACCCAAAATAAATATTTTACTAAATCTTAGTTTAATAACACAAGTCTGTATAAATGTTCCATCTTTCTTTACATTCCATGAGTAACAAAGATAGAAAGAAGAAACACGTGCTGACTTGTATCATTAAGTGGAAGGTATCATCTGATGACTCATTATGAACTTTACATTTTTACATAGAAATAGTATTCAATGACATTGCTTTTAGATAATAGATAAGGCTCAAAAGTAATCATTTGCTTACCCAATATCGTGGGATCACCCTCCATGTAGGACAGTATATATTTATTTAGAAATAGTGTACATCCACTGAAGACATACCATAGGGTGAGAAAGAGGAGAGCTCTGGAATTGAACAAACCGCCTTTCGTGTCGCTCGTCAGAACGATCACATCCTCTCGTTTTCTGACGTGATCAGCATGCTGCTTCGGTTGGGTGTCGTGAAATGCAGGCGACTCGTCGGCAACATCTCCACGGGCGGCCTGTGGATTGATACGTACGGAGTAATTCTCCATCTCTCGTCCGCTTCCTTCTTCTATAGTCCTCGCATGAATGCGAGACTCGCCGCGGGTTGCGAGACGTGAGAAATCACATTTTTCACGCCGCTTGGAGAAACTTTTTCCGCCCTTGGCGCTCTGTGAATTAGGTTAGGTTAGGTCGATGTTTACGCTAATCAGATCGCGCCACGGTTTTTCAACGTCAATAATCGGCCGAACCGGTTATGGTTGACCGGTGTTCGTCGTTGTCCCCGTTTTCGCATGACAATCGTCTCTTCTTTCTTTGTTTGTTTTCTTCTTTCTTTCACAAATATCCACACTTCTCGAATCATAGAACATATCCAGATAACAAAATGCCCGCACAATAATCGCATGGTGCGCGCACATGTGCGAGTATTCACTCCCTCGCCGCATATGATTCTCATAACACACACAGATGCGTCCTTATTTGAGACTCGCATCACTTACGTACTGACACTAATTTAATATTCGAAAAAAAAAATTCATATTTAAGACTTATATATTTTATTTCTAATATGGGATCTACAATAGAAATCGTAGCGATCATAGGGGCTGCGATTTTGGATACTTTCAGTGCTTTTCAATAGTTTCATTCTTATTTTATAATGAACGATATAGACGATAAAGCGAGAGGGAATGATCAACGCGATGTTGTAAACGCTTTGAAGTGTTTTGGTCAGTTTGTAAAATTCTTTCTTCTCATTGGTCCATCAAACGCTTCAAAGCATTTGTAGCGAGACTTTGAACACAGCCAGAATGATGATTACAAACACTTAAAGCACGTGAATTGGTAGCCAGGGTCTTAAGTCATAGAAAATTGACCAATCATATCATAATTGATTATTTCTTTGATATTCGTCTGTGATTGGTTAATTTTCTATGATTTAAGGTCCTGACAATGAGTAGACTGTGTTCTAAAATTTACTGTCAATATTAAAAATCTATAATTCTAGATCCAACAAACGAGAATGAATTAAATTCATTTTTTTTCATTTATAGGAATTGCATGGAGCATATCTCTATGCCTTTCAATCTAAAAATAATATTAGCTTTTTCTGTGCATTGTGAATACTGTTCAATTCAAAATTTTGAATAGGAAATGCGGTTTTTCAATCCAATTGCATCCAAATGAATCCGATTGAATTCAATTAAATAAAAAAAAGCGCTAATTGAATCCAATTGGATTCAATTAGATTCATTTGGATGCAATTGGATTGAAAAACTGCATTTCCTATTCAAAATTTTGAATTGAACAGTATTCATAATGCACAGAAAAAGCTAATATTATTTTTAGATTGAAAGGCATAGAGATATGCTCCATGCAATTCTTATAAATGAATAAAAATGCAGGATTAAAAAGTATTCATTTTGACATTCGTGAATCAATATTTCTGAAAATCTGAATCTATTTCAATCCATTTTCGTTTGCTGAGGACATTG